CAGTGTCAGGCAAGGCTGTGACAGTGGTTATCTCGCTCTCCCTGCTACCGGCTGGGGCAGTGCCAGCCCCAGGGCTCTTGTTTCCACATCCACACAGCCCAGTGTAACTGTAAGGGTCAGCTTCAAACCCACCTCTGCTGCAGGACACGGGTCCAAAGGCAGATCTACGCCGCCCCCTCCCATGTACGTCCCACCGCTCGCTCTGCTGTGTCCTCGCAGGGAACAGCCTGAAGACAGACATGGGACAAGCACTGCAAGTCTAGATCAGTAACTCCTGGGCTTGTACCAGTTGCACAAAGAGCAAATGTTCCACAAGCACTGTCCTTGGCTACAGTCCCATGCACAGACATGCCCACCCTGTCCATAGCTGCAGCCAGAGGCTGGCAGGTCCACTTTGACACAGAGAGCAGAAGAGCACACACAGGTCAGTGTGTGGAACACTGCCCCGGATTGATTGCTGGTAGCTGGAACCAGGCTTTTCCCCGTAACTGCACTGTAGCTTTGCAACACTGGACAGTAACACACCTCAGCTTTCTAGCACAGGACTCTACAGTCCTAAAGAACACACTTTTCCTTCAATTCACTACATTTCTGAAAAGTCATATAATATCTTAGAGTAATAGAATGGTTTGAGTAGGAAGGGACCTTAAATCTCACCCAGTTCCAACCCCTGCCACAGGCAAGAAACACCTTCCACTAGAGCAGGTTGCTCCAAGCCCCTGTGTCCAACCTGGCCTTGAACACTGCCAGGGATGGGGCAGCCACAGCTTCTCTGGGCACCCTGTGCCAGCGCCTCAGCACCCTCCCAGGGAAGAGCTTCTGCCTCAGAGCTCATCTCAATCTCCCCTCTGGCAGGCTAAAGCCATTCCCCTTGTCCTGTCCCTACATGTCCTTACAAGTCCTGTGCTACCATTTGTCTCCTCACAGGCCTGGAGCTGTGGTAGCTCTGGAAGCCCTCAGCCATCACGGTCTGTCCCATCACACCCCAGGCACAGACCTGGGCAGCTCCCGGAGCAGCTCCAGCACAGAGCCCAGCCCTGCCCCGGGCACCCATTCAAGTCTCAGGCTGGCAGAGTCTGTAACACTGGCAGTTCACAGATAGCAGCACTGCACCAGGCAACACATAGAGCCTTGGGCCAGAAATTAACAGCTAAAAGACTAGGGTTGTCCATGAACTGGAATACCAGCTGGGAATACCAGATTTTGGCTGTCTTGGGAATTCAGGCCTTCAAAGGGGACACTTCAGAGCCATGAAAGGGTGTAGCCATTAATGTATTTTGCTTGCATCCTTCCACACTGGCTGTAGCTGTCAAGGGGATGGCTCCCAAGGGCCACTTCACAAGAACTGACTATCAAACCCTCCCAGGGGCTGCACAACCAACGTACAGCACACCCACCTCTCCCACTCCTACCTCCTGCTTGGCTTTTGCCACTGCTCAGTTCTACCAGCACAGAACCAACCACAGTATCACAGCTCTCCCTTGAATCATTAACTATTAGAAACATAAGTTGAAAGGTGTATTTTTCAGTGCACTTGCAGGTTTAAACCTCTCCAGCACACCACAATCATTCGCAGGCTCCAGCTCAGTGGCCTGCAGCACCGTGTATCCTCTGGGATTTTGCTACCCTGACATTCACAGCTGGACATTCCACATCCAAACCCAGGCAGGAAGGCTTCTCACTGCTCTCCCTGGCAGTTCACCTCCAACTGCAGTCCCTGGCCTATGAGCCAGGCACAGGGCTGTCTCCCTTCTCCAGGCCTGAGAGCAAGCAGTACTCTTGCCAGTTGCTATGAGGATGAGGTCAGTCTCCCCACAATGCTAAAGCTCTGCTTGGAAACCTGCTGAGCTAGCAGAAACTGCCACTTCAGGTTTACCCATTTCCTGTTAGGAGATAAAACAGCATTGGAGGGCTGAGCTCCTGCCACCCTGGGCTTTTGCCATGTTTCAGTTACTGCTACAGCCACTGCCTTAGGCAGGTGAACACTGGCATGGCTTGATTTCAGCCGGAGCCAGAGCACAGTATGAATTATTTGTGGTGAGCTGACCTATTTACCAGCAGAAAGGCAGCATTCATTCCAGCCCAGAGTCCCCAGAGGCTGCTGGTGTCACTTTACCCCAGAGGTTAACACAACCCCGTCGCTATCTCTGGGCATCTCGCCTCAAGGGGCGCGGAGGTAACTTGTCCTGGGCTCTTCCTGCCATGTCTCTTGGATGACAAGCAACAACTCCACATCCTTTCAGTGCAAACTACTCCTGGCCTGCAAGTGGGTTCTGCTGACCAGCTTTGATCAGTGTCTTGTGACCACTATAGCCAACACACATAGGAAGCCAAGTGAGCCCACAAGGCCTTGAAACAGCAGAAAGTCACTGCTGGCAGCTCTGTTTCAGGCAGAGCAGGGCCAGAGCATGCAAGCAGTGTTTGCAGGGTGGCTGCCAAGCTCTGCAGCTATTCAGGATGTTTCTCTGCACAGCTCCTTCTAAGTTACTCTAATCTCTATTACTGGCTCCCATCCTCTGTGCACAGGCCAAGGCAGCCTGTGAAGGGGTATTGCACACTGAGAAGATGCTGAAGTCTTGGCACCACATTCCTGTTGAGCATCTCAGAATCACAGATCTCCACCACGTCTTCATGGATCTTACCTTTGTCTGCCAGAGACAGCGTGCTGTTAAAGTACTGCTCCTCCACAGTCCATGCTGTGTCATTGACCTTGTTAGATACCCCACAGGATCCAACGCAGCTCACCTTGATGGCTGTGGAGAGAAAGCACACACGTAAGCTCTGGGAGAAAGCAAAACCTCAGGTTCAGACTTGCTTCAGGTACTTGTGCAGGAGCAGTGCCTCATGAAACACACACAAGGTAGAAAAATGGAGCAAAGGAATCTGGTCACGTCTTCATTTCAGAAGCATGTCTTCCCATTACTCTTCACACAATTGCACACTCCCTGCTACCCCAGTGCTATTCCCAGATGTTATCACCTTCAAAGTCCTGGCCTCCTTGCACTGTGAAACCCTTACCCAGCAGTGATTCCAGCTCACCAAGCCATAACCCTCTCTCTAGTTTGCTCCAAAATGAAGCAATATCTCTTCCCAACGTGCACATCAGCCTCAGCACTCAGGCTGACAGCAAAGACCTTTGTGGCCACTTCAAGTGGCTTCTTCCTCCTGTTAGAGACCCAGGGCTCACAGCAAAGCCACAGACCAAGGTCTGGAAGCACCCGAGATGCCATCTGACCCTCCCAAAGCAAGGAGGGTGAATCTGAGCTATGTTTGTGCCTTGCTTTGGGAAAGCCACCCCAGAGCCCACCCTGCAGAATGGCTTTCAGAAGAGGTACCCACAAGACGTTTTCAGTTAGTCTTGGCCAATTCACAAGAGGTTGAAATCAAGCTCTGATGTCGACACTGGACCACAGAGATGAATGTGATGGACTGGCCTTGTTTCACAGCAGATGCTCTGCAGTGCTGCTCCATGCAGGGAGGATGCAGACAGACCTATCACAGCACAAACCGGGCCCTCGGCATTGTCCCGGCTGAACATCTCCTGTCCTGATTGTCCCCAGGTTTTGCAGCAGCCTTAATGGATCCCACAGAACTCCCCCACTGGATTTGCTGTGTGACTGTTCTGCTGGCAGGAACTACCAGACAGACTTTTCCTATTTCACCCATCTGCTCCCCTCTATTCAAGCCGTGCCTCACAGGAAGCACCTCCCTGGGAGGCAGGAGGCCAATTCAGGTTGGCTCCAGAGCTCTCCCCTTCCCCACGCCTCCTCAGCCAAGCACCTCCTCAGACACCAAGGGCTGTGTGATGCTGCACACAACCACCTCAAATGCCCTCCAGAGCTCCTGCCTGGCTGGTGCGACCATGTCCTCCACATGGACTTGGGACAGGGTGGAAAGAAACCCAAACCCAGGCCTCTCTAGAGGGGGAATGTGCAGCTCTTAGCCCAGTGCCCTGCTGGTGTTTTGGTGCATGCATTCCGGTGAAACAGGCTCCTCAGGGCTTAAAGTCTCTCATCCCACAACAAGGAACAGCTTTCTCCCTGTCAGATCTCCTGCTGTACCTTCCCAGCCTCATCATGACTTCGAACACCAGAGCCCGTTGCAGTCCAAGTGCTGTTTTATACTCAAGGGCAATGGATAAACAGCTCCAGATGCCAACTCTCATTAACCACATAGCAATAGAGCAGCAAGGCTGACACAGCAGCTCACTTGTGTGTGTCTGGGATGTGCACTGCCACTTCCAAGGCACTGCCAGGGGAGTGTGGCCTCCAACCGGAGCTGCCCACACCATGGCACGTGTGGTCTGAGCAGACACTGGTCCCCTCCTGAAGCAAACCACCACCCCAAACCCCCCTGCAGGGTTACGACATCCAACCCTCTCTTTTGCCAGATGGCAGAGCCAAAACCACATAAGGCCTTCAGCATCAGAAGGAGCAGGGAGTGATACCCATACGTTGGTACCAGATCTCATGTTTCCACCTCAGACACACTGCCACATCTCTACATTCACAAGAAGCCTGTCCCACTTCAAGTTAGCCCAGAACTTGGACGGCTTAAGTCAAATCAAGCCCAGGCTCAACTGCTCCACTCCCACATTTTCACACAGGAGCTGAGAGCAAGAAAAACCCAACCAAGAACTGGAGAACATCCACAGAACATTCACATCCTTCAGGAGCAACAGGCTCCCCCTCAGGCTCCCTTCACCACAGGAGTTTATAGATCACCACCATCTGTTGCAACGCCCAGATATGGGGATGATGGTCTTGAATCTGAGCTTGCT